AATACTTGCTCTCTCCTGTATCTGAGCGGCTGCTGCAAGATGTGCATCGCTGTGCATGGCAAGCACTGCACCAGGTCTCTTCTGGCTGGGGGAGGGAGAGACAAACTGAGGACCAAGATCCTGAGCCCAAATGCCAGGCAGGGGTATTAGAGGAGCTGGGGAGGAAGCATGGTCTTTGCTCAGCCCATTTGAGTTGTGTTTCAGATTCCTCAGCATCCCATCATTGCTGGTAAAATGGCAGTGGTCTGCTAATACATAAATAGAGGAGCTGATTTGAAAGTTTAAGGCTATTCTGATCTCTGCTTGACTGGCTGCATAAAACAGGTCATTGGATTTTACTCAGGAACAGAAAATAATTATATATATATTCTGTCCTTCCTGAGTGTACTTACTTAGTCACTATCTGATCTGCCTTTTTATTGGCAGCTGCTTCAATTAAGTTGGAAAGAATGTTTCAGTGAACATGGGGCATCTACTCTAACCTTGAACTGCTGATTAAAGCCCACTGCAGAATCCCTTTCTCTGGGATGGGATAAAGAGAAGATAGGAAAGGGAACTGGATAAGGATTTACTTTTCCTTCCCAAATGGTTTTTGTGGTTCCCATTTCCCACCTTCCCCGAGTCACGGTAAAAGGTTTATAATGGAGTGTCACAAAACAGAAAAACACATCCCCACCCTTCCCCAGTCAGCTTAATGAACCTGTTTTCCTGGATAACTTCAAGTGTTTCAGTGCTGATGTCTGTATAAGTGGACAAACACATCAAAAACATTTGTATCGTGCAAAAAAATCAAAAGATGTTGTTTTGAAAACATTCAAATATGACTTTGGGGCGGGGGGGGATAAAAGAAACATTCAGAATGTGAATGATGGAACAACTCAAGTAAAACATTTTCCTTGCAAATAAATTCACTTTGGGTAACTTAACTGTTTTTGGATGACAGAAGGTGTCAGTGAAAGTTCGTCTGTAGCTCTAGCACAGAGGTTTAAGTGCAGAGTCATGGGCAAGTTTGGGTGAGGAAGGACCTTAGGAGGTCCTCTGGCCCAACTTGCGGGCCAAAGCAGGATCTGCCTCAATATTAGATCAGTTTGCTCAGTGTTGGCCAGTAGTTGGTGAATAAGGTATAGGTATTGTTTCACTTCAGGAGTTAGATCTCTCCTGGGTTGTGAAAGAGCACCTGTTTTAAAGGAGTGATGTAGCTGATTTTCTTTACAAACTCTTTAGTCTTTAATGAATGTGAAGCTGCAGGTAGGATTTCAGACTTCCAGGGCTGTAGAGCTTTCCAGATAGACTTTTCCAGTGCTTTTTCAGCTTGCTGGCTCAGCGTCATCCAGGAAGAGGTGGCAGTGATCCATGGAAATGTTGCCCACTGACTGGTGTGCAATAAGCATGGGGGGTGAGGGGAAAAAAAAAAAAAAAAAAAGAAAGGGGAAGCATTTGGCCAAATTGCCCATCTTTATGCAATTTGTAAAATTATCAGGGCTAATGTGTGTGCACTGTATTTAAAGGCATCTCCCTGTGAGTGCGCTGGCTGCTGCAATAGGTCAGCCAACAGCCAGAAAAGATGAGAAGGGCTGATTATGGCTCCCCTGCAAGTGGCCCTGCTATGTCTTATATTGCTGCGGCCCATCTCAAATAACCAGTCTGGGTGCTCCTACCTACTGAAAAGAAATGTGATATTGGAGTAGGTTACCTAGTGGAAACTTCTCTAGATCTGTGCTCCAGCCTTTAGTTCCTATTCAAGGAGGAACACTGGTTTCCTGTATCCTCTCCCAGATGGAGATGCTGTCACTGTAAAAGCATGCCAGGCTTTGGCTTGAGGTCAGCAGGTAGCTGGACTTAATGCAGTTTGAGACCCTGGTTCATGTCTGTGACTTGCATGTGTGCTCTCTTTAGCCTTGGTGCTGTCTCCTAACCTGGTGGCTGGTGAGAGGGGCTTCTCCAAAGACAGGTGCTCACTGCGCCCTTGCCTAACAAAATCTGATAGTTCTTGCTAGAAATGTGGCCACAGCCAGGATCATCTCTCCCTCATCTGGTGTCTGTGATCAGTATGGAGCACGAGGTAGTTGGTGGTGGTTTGCTTGCTCTCTAGGCTGGCATGGTTGTGCTGCAGCAGCTCAAAGGCGAGTCCAAGTACACCTTGCTGCTGATGCAGGGAGAAGAGCTGATGTCAAGACAGTGCAAAATATATATCCTAGAGCAGGACAATCTGCAGTAGAGAGGCAAAGCTGATGATGAAAATGTCACAGGCTGTGAATGAAACTGCTGTGCGATGGCATCAAGAGGTGAAATAAGGACTAGAATAGGGTATGTGTGAAAAGCATAGGGTATGCGGCTACGGCATGGAACAAATATTGGAGAGGATTATAGTTACATGCCGAAGCAGAGACCCACAAAGGGAAGAAAGGGCAAACATAAAATGGGCTGTGGGGAATGAGCCTCGGTTGTGAACCAGTTGACAGCAGAGCAAACAGAGGATGTGTGCATCAGATAAGCCCTCTTTCCAGAGGGATGGAGCAGATCCCCTCAGTCCTGTGGGAGGAGGGAACTGGATCGTGCTGGGACTGGAAACAAGATGCGTGACATGGACACCAGCACTCTGACAGAGGCAGCCCGTAGGATGCACAGACGTCCTTTGGGACAGTACTGAGCAGATTGGCCATGCTCAGAGGAGGTGGCGATGGGCAAGATGGAGCATGGATATGATGCATAATGTAAAGATGGACATTGTCTGGAGCAGTTGCCCAACATGGACAGATCAGGAACTGAGCTAAGCGCAGACACGCGTGTACAGGAACTAAGGTGATGCTGCAGGCAGCAATGTTTGCATCTCATCTATTTGAAAATAGAGCTGCAGCAGGTAGAAATGTCTGGTTACCTGTCTCTGCCGTAGCCTGCATCAACATCACATTTGTCAAGATGCTTAGAGGGAAATCTGAGTGATGCAGAGTGCTTCCGTGCCACTGGTGCACAAGCAGCGCTGCTCTGGCAGAGGCTGTCCAACCCTGCAAGATGCTCACGTTGCTCCTGCCAATTCACTGGCAGCAAATGGGCCAGATGGGACCATGGGAGCATTCAGCCTCACATCTGCTGCGAACTGTCCTGGTGTAAGCCCAGGCTTCACATGCACTTGCACAGACACACTTTCTTTTTAACTGATTGATCCAGTCCTTGGTGTAGGAGACCTGAGTGGCGATGCCCTGTCCACAGCAGGGACAGTCTATAACGGGCAGGCAGGCAAGGGAGGCTGGTGAATACCACTGCCAAACCAGGTCCACTGCGAACATAAAAGGAGAAACAGCTGGGGAACTCCCCTCCCATACATCTCCACTCTGCTGCCAGTTTGGGCAAATATGGTATTTCTTGGAGATGTGCCTGGCTGGTGGAGCGCCTGAGGAAAATGAGCCAGTGGAAGATGACAAAAATGCTCGATGGTGCCGAAAATGCAGAGTGAAAGCTGGCTTGCTGAGTCAGCACTTTTGGCAGAGCTGGGGAGGGGGAGTGGAGGCCACGATACCTGGTCCAGGCGTGCATCCCCATGCAGGTGCTGCTCTCCTTGGCAGCGCTGGATGCCCACCCCGGCTCCCCCACCTGGCAAACTCCCAGCCAAAGCCGGGTCACTGAGGATGGATGCACTGTCCCGCTCCCACCCAACAAGTAACAGAAGCATTGGCTTGAGCTGGGTTGCAAGAGGGAGGAGAGAGGATAAGCTGCTGGACAGCTGAGAATACAAGCTAGAGAGGGGATTTTTGCTCGTGCATGTTACCTGGTGAATAGAAGGCTGCAGCGCTGTGCTCCTGCTCCACGGCTTTAAATGCTTGTCTTTACATCCTCGGTTATGGACCCTTTCCTGCAAGTGGCAGGGAAAGAGTGGGCAGGAATCAATCTGTGACCCAGGCCAAAAATATCACCTGCCCTACAGCTCCTAATTTTTTTCTCTGCTCCTACAGGCTGGGAGAGAGGGGGTGCTGGAGCTGCCAGGCGCTCCAGAGGGCACGCTTTGCATCGCTGGGGAGCCCTGCCAAGGGGAGAGGAGGGGGGAGGGAGGGGATGGGGAGCTGAAGACTGTGAGGTTTAGTGAAATGGAAACCGTGAGCCAGAGGGTTGTGTGAGGCACTGCAATCCTCTGCCGGCATAGCTGTGCAACTGTGGAGGGTGCTTGGGCAGCAAAACCCACCCAGGCACCTAGGACATTCTAGGTGGAGTCCAGCCATCTGGGGTTTGCCCTCTCTAAGACATCCTTACTTAAATAATGCTTTTGTATTGTGCTAAGAAAGGCTCTGAGTGTGGCTTGAGGTCAGACAAGCTCTCTTGCTGCATTCCTGCTCTCTTACTTTTTGTTCCAGGTCTCCTTGAGCCCTGATGCGTGGCAGAGCCCTGCTAGTCTTTGCGAGAGGTGGGTGTGTGCCACACACCACCCATACGTTAGCACACGTGAGATGTGCGCGCCACATGCTTCTGACTTCTTACACGCCTTGTGACTGTTCATTTCAAAGAGTGTCGGATGGCAGAAGGTCCCCAAACCCTCCACAGGCTCTAACCCTGCAGTACATCCCAAGCCGTTTACATGTAGAGGGCAGCAGGGAAGAGCCCCTACCCAGCTGGGATAGCAGAGGCTGCTGCTGTGTGTTGAGACTGCAAGAGCCAGGGTGCCACAACCAGGTTTTAAGCAGCGACCGTGTGCCACGGAGCTGTGGGAGCTCCACAATTTGTTTCCAAAGGTGCCTTTGCCTCAGATACCCCTCTTAAAGCTCTGCCTGCCTGGTGGGGTTGTAAATATAGAAACATAAGCCCTGGAGGTTTTTTTTTTTCTCCAAACATGTCCCTCCCATCGTAGCATCATCTGTGCAATTCCTCCAGCTGCTCCTATACATGGTATGACCTTTTTTTCTGCTTCCCTTGCTTCTCCCTCCATCCCCCTCCCGCCCTGTCTCTGCTGCCCTTCCCTGCCCAGCGCAGGGAGTCTGGGGCCAATCGGCTCCTCCAGACGATCAAATGTCACTATAAGTTGAGAGCTGCATCACCTTGGGACGCTTGCAGATCCCAGCCCACCCGTCCCCTTCGGCAGGGAGCTCAGCACTTCTCTCTGCTCCTCCCAGGTAAGCAGAAGCCCCTGCAAGGGATGCTGCTGTGGGGGGTAAAACCACAGAGGGGCTGAGCCTTGGTTTGAATGGAGGAGGAGGGGAGGGTTGGGGTCCATAGGATCTGGGATCCAGCACAGGATCCGAAGGAAAACGCACTTTTCTTTCCTAGATTTGGCTGGGCATCCCACAAGGCTTGTGTCACCTGCAGAGATTTGGGTGCTCTGAACTCTCAAGGATTGGTGGTGGGAGAAAAGACCCTTCTAAAACCAAGGTGTAGGGCTGGGAATGAAGTGGCATTTCTTGGGGCAGTTGGGAAAACTTCTCTTCAGCAGTGGGAAGGAAGCACTGACCTTCCTTGCCTTGTCACCCAGAGAAAGGGACAGCCCAGGCAGGAGGGATGATGGGCAGGACCACTGAGGAGCTGCTGGCAGGCGAGGATGGCTGTGGGGTGTGGGGCTAGAGGGAGACCTGAGAAACACAAATGCGGTCATGGAAAACTTCCCCCTCTCACAGAAAAGAAGAAAATTGGGAGACAGGCAAGAGGAGGGGGTTAAATGCAGAGCAGTGATGGGATGCAAGCTTCAAACCCCTGCGCTTTGCTGGCCTGCCCACCTGGTGTGGGTGACTCTCCCCTGCGTGGGGGGCATCTCTGCCACCAGCCTGCAGCTGCCCTGCTGGGCAGAGCTCCTTGCTTTTGAGGGGTGGGGTGTGCGTGTATCCTGCAAAGGCAGGAGTGTCACCAGCACAGGTGGCTCTGATGCCAGCAGTTTGGGTGGGAGCTGTGCTGCTGGTGTGGGGGAGCTCAGGCGAGGCCATAGGCTATTGCTGGGGCAAGCATCCGACCCTTGTGGGAGCGAGACCAGGGAAAAGGCAGGGGATGTAAGCTAAGCATGGTTGTTGTCTTTTAGTCCTCTGTCTCAGTCTTCTTGTTGCTAGCAAATTCCATGCAGGGATCAAACAGATCCTATCGCCCCAAAGATGAAGATAAAGGGTACATTTTGGGGCAGGGAATGGGGATTTTGCTATCTGTCGGTGGAGCCTGCAGCAGCGCTTGGGTCCTTCTACCCTGTTTCAGGAGCAGCGTTGCAGTGGGTGCTTTGCTCTCCAGACCCCAGGGAGAGAAACGCTTTCTGCTGGAAAGTACTGAGCAGTTCAGAAACACAGAGAAGGCAAAGGGAAGGAAGAAATATATATTAAAAAAAGTATATGTATATATTTATATATTTAATAGATATATATAATACATTTTTTAAAATATATATGTATGTATATAAAAACCCAGATGCAATGGGTTTGCAGTGGCTCCTGCTGGGAAAGCATGGCCATGTGGTGCTTGGTGGATCATACCACTAGTCCTCGCCTGATAGCTGTCCCTGCCAAGTCCCATCACCTGCACATGGCCACTTTTGTCCTCCCCCCTTTCAGTACAGCTCCTGCTACCTTGCCTCCCTTGTATGGCCTGGCTTGGGAGGGGATGATTGACAGAAGGGTTATTTCCAGGGATGGCCTGGAGGTGCAAGGCAGCCCATTCCCCCTCCTGGGTGCATTCTCAGCTGCTAAGAGGCTTCTTGGGATGTGCTGCCTCTGCTCTTTCAGCTGAGGGCAGGAGCATTTGGGGCCAAAAGGGATGGGGCATTCCTGCCCACCTGGAGCTGAGGAGGATTGGGGTATTTGTCCTTCCTGCCATGACCCGCTTAGCTTGAACAAAATGCAAAACATAACCTTTGCATTCACCTTTGAGGAGTGGGAACAGGCAGGAAATTTTTGGTCTGCTGAAACTTTCCTATGTGTTTTGATTTCCTTCCAGATGGTGGGCAGTATTAACTAATTGATTTTATTACATCCTTAAACCTCAGTCAAGACCAGACCCTATTTTTCTGCCACTGTACAAACAAAACCCAGTTATTGCCTTAAGGTGCTAACAGCCTTAATCTTAGGCTGCATTTGCTGCGTGTAAAGTGATTTCCACCAAAGGGTAATCCTGAGCCAGCTGGAGACTTTCCATTGCCTTCAGCAAACTTAATCCTAACTGCAAAAAATACTGCTTTTAGCAGATTGCTTGCTTTATGGCCTTTTGGATGTAAATATGGTTTGGTTTTGTTGGCTGCTTTGATGACGGAGTTAGCTACGTGGACAGTGCTGGGCATCAAAGAGCCTTTCTCATCTCAGGTGGCTGTTGCTATGATGGTTTGCATTTTCCCCCTGGCTTTGATGGCCCACATGGCTTTTGAATGCCATGAAGTGGACAGACACCTTGCTGTTCTTGAGGAGAGACATTTTTGGCTTTCCAGCCAGGGCAGTGGCAGTCAGCTACAGCCTTAAATGCCAGCTCCTCCCGACGGAATGACAAAACTTGGCTGAATGTTTGGCCCTTGCAAGGCTGAAATCTGCATTCCCCCCCCGCCCCCCGGATTTTTTTGTGCCCCCTGCCCTAGCCTGTGGGGTTTCTGTGTCTGGCTCATCTCTGCACAGAGTCTGCCAATGCACTTGTTATTAATTCATTTTATCCAGGGCCCAGAAAACCCGTCAGGGCTGGGGTCTTATGGTGTCAGGGATGCTGGCATTCTTGCTGGGCTTTTATAGCATGCGGACAGATGCCATGTGAAATCCCATTCGCGTTTGCAGTGCTTGGATTAACAAATATGGAAGGGTGTAGGGGAACAGCCAATGTGACAACTCTCGGCAAGATGTCCTTAGAGCTAAACTGGAGACTAGATGAGCTCATTCCAGTAACTGTTAATGGAAAGCCTGATTGCAAAGACTCCCGTTGACTTCAATTGCCTTGGAAAGAACAGCATGTGCTGCGTTACGTGCCTACCCTACACTGAACAGACGTTCGCTCTCTGTATGCATACGCAGGGCTTTTGAGCTGATTTCTTCTCCAGCACTGAGCAGTATTACTCTTCTCACTGGAGTGAGAGGGAAGAAGAGTTTAGCCCAAAGTCCTTTAAGTCCTTTTTTTTCCTCCTCCACCTTTGGAGAAGGAAGTCTGGGTTTATAAATTAAAAGCAGAATCTGTGGGAGGACTGGCCATTGCCCTGAGTCTTTATAGATCATGCATTTTGGAAGAAGCCAACAGCTGGGCATCTGGCAGGTTCCCTCTATGGGCTTTTGCCAGGAGAAGCCCTACTGTCCTGCTGCATAAACCAACATACTGTCAAGCATTATTACTAATAGCTTGAATAATTTTTGGAGGCTAAAATGAGATTGCAAACCTGCTAGCCACTGTGCAGGTAGCAACTGGAAGTCTTTATCCTGAAGATTTGATGATCTAGATAAAAAAGACCAGGGGAAAGAGACCAGAGGTGTTGTAGCATCCAAGTTAGTAACAGAAGAAGTAGCAGGAATCAATGCAGCAGAAAAGCCTTTTGCAGAGTTGAAATTCCTCCCAGATTCCTCCTGCCTGGTGGGATTAGAGTCCCCAAAGTACTCCTTGGGATGGCTGTTGCACTTGAGGAGTAGGCAATCACAGCTACCAAAGTAAAAGCAGCCTGGGACCAAGAGATCACTGAACCCAAATCTCATGTGTCCTAGCAGTAGATCACTCTCCCATCCAGCTACTCAGATCGTGTCATAACACAGCCATTGCTGACACTACTTCCAGGGCAATGCTGAATTTCAGAAAGAGGATAAATGAGGAACCAGAAGAAAAAATGCTGGCTGTTTATTGCTGCTTAGAACATGGGGGGTTTAAATCCTGTTGGTGTTAACGTGTGGTGCCCAGGCTCATTGCTGGGGAATGGAGAGAATCCCTTATAGGGCAGGGTTGGAGCCTATGGGATTACTGCCTTCCTCTGAAATAGAAAGCTGCCGAGCTGCAGTTGTTCCTTTTGAACCTAAGTCAGCCCACCTGCTCCTTCAAGACATCTCTCATATATCAGCTGAGTAATGAAGTCAGGAAAGTCATGGTTTGGGTTTCCCAATGAGGAGGAGCCTGGCTTTCTAATTTAAGACCGGCTGTGGATTGGGAGGAAGTTTTGGGGGCCCCTTCCCCACCTCCTCCCCTGGCCTCAGGGCAGCTGATGCTTTTAGGTAGAGCCATAACTTTGTACAACTGCCATCACCGAACCCAGCGCAGCGTGCAACGTTACCACGATGCTCCCCAAATAGCAGTGCTGCTCCCTCTGATTCCATCTGAGACTCTGATACACACATTTGGGGTCCAGCAAAGATCAGCAGAGTGGCCATATCCATCCCTCGCACTTTCCCGGCTGCAGGGTTCTGCGGGCGGTGGTCTGCAGGCAGCCCTGACTCGGGCTGTGCAGAAATGCAAGCCATGACAGCGCCGTGGATGGGTTCGTTTCTGCCCCGTGGTGCGAAGACTGGTTGCAATAAATATACCTGGTTATACTGATATGAATTGCCTAACCAGGCATGTGGCCAGTTTTCATCTTGCACTAATCAATAGATAATTGTCCATGCATTCACCAGCTGTATAAACCAGACACACTTTTGGGTGCTGACGAATGAGTAGTTATCTCTGGGTATATTGGTAGTTTCAGTTACTTTTTTTGTTAGCTCTGACTAATGCTTTGGAGCTGGTGCCTTCCCACTTGTGGTAGCATAAAAGAAGGAAAAATTTCTCTGATCTTGCTGGAGCGATGGAAATGTCAGATGGGTGTGAGAGGACACCCTGGCCTGCGCCCATATCCCTGAGCTCTGGAGGATTTGTAACTTAAACCCAGGTTCAGTCTTCCCCCCTGGGCCTGCCTGTGGGAAGGAGCTGAGTTGACAGGGCATGTCTTTCCAGATGATCTTTTCCTCTTCCCCTCTCCTTCTCCTCTGACCTGCCTGGCAAAGGTCTGTGCTGCTCCCAAAATGGCAGTGGTGGTGGGGGATTGGCTGCGGTGTGGGAAAGCAGGTGCCTGGCTTTTTCGTCCTCAAATGTCAACCCACCTGCTCCTGCCTTGGCAGTTTTTAGGAGGCACTCTCACTAATAACACCTTTTTTTTTTTTTCCTTCTCTTCATCTTTTGTCTAGAAACTCACTGCCAACATGTCTGATACCGAGGAAGTGTAAGTAGAGAAAAAGCCGCCTGCATGTTCGTCTCTTCAGCTTGGCTCCACGCAGCGAAGCGAGGGCATCCCCACGGGGAGGAGGGACTGGGTGCCGCTCTGTGCACAGCCTGAAGCCCCCCGTGGCACTGGGGAAGGGCCGTGTTGGCTTTGAGTGTCACAGGGTCCATCAAAGTTCACTTGATACCCTCCCTGTCCAACACAAGATGTCCCCCAAACACCTCCACCCAGCTCAGCCTGTCCTCAGTGGCTGTGGCCCTACACCTGGAGGAGGGGGAATAAACCACAGTGTGGTGGAGGAGCCGCTTTCTGCCCTGATTTAACAAATCTAGAGTAATATGACCAAACCCAATGGAGTTATTTGATGTTTATGCATCTATAGATACAGAGGGGAGATTTAGGGCAATCGTGGGATTAGAGGCATCAGGGACAGACCTGCAGTGGTCACTTAGCCCCCTTCTCTGCTACAAGGGAGGCTCAGCTCAACCTGTGCCATTTTGTCCAGCCTGCTCTTAAAAAAAATATTTCCAAAGATGTGATTTGGCACCTTTTTCAGGCAATCTCTAACAAACACCTCCCTCGTTTAGGGTCTGGCCCCAGGGCTGCTCTGGGGTTTGGGTTCCAAGCAAGGTGATGGTAGAGCAGGAGAAGCTGGCAAGGTGGGGGCAAAGAGTAGGAACAGACCGCAAAACTGATGTTGCTACAGCCATGGGACAAACATTGACCAGCATCTGGTTTATGCCAAATTTTTATTAGACAGCCCTAGGGTTCAGGGAGCCTGTAGCACATCTGGGTTGGCGTGGGCCGTTGGCTGCAGGCTGGCTTGAGGTCCAACTTCATCAGCCCCTGCACAGCGCTCACGTGTGGGTATCGTGTTATAGCCCTGTGGTGGTAGGATTATTCCTGGATATGGATCCATAGCCACCTTCAGAATCAGCAGCACTATTTAAAATAAAACCCAAACCCAGTTACTTTACTACTCTTAAAACCAAATGGCTCCTGGAAGAGCAGAGGGAGAATGGGGGAAAGAAGAAACAGCAGACTTTAAACAACAGTGCATTGGGTTGCTTCAGCACATGGTTTAAAGCTTGGCGATAATATGGAGTGGAAGACATATTTATCTAGTTTCAATAACCTTTTTTCCTCTCTCGCAGGGAGCAAGGAGAGGGTAAGTCTTAAATCTGTCTCTAATTGCTTCCATGCAAGCCTGCAGCATTCGCTGGCCGTGTCCGTGTTCTCCTTTCTGCCCATTGTTGAGATGTTAACAAAAAGTGCCGCTACGGTTAGACAAATCTGAGGTTTCTTTTTTGTGCATCTGTCCGTCTGACTGTCACCAGGTTCCGGTGATTTTACACTACTTGTAGCACTTTGGCAGTCTTCGTCCTGCAGGCAGCCCTTAGGGTTTCAGCGCCACATTGATGCCCTGGTTGCAGGGGACGCTGCTAGTTTTTGTAGGGGCACTGCCATCTGCTGGCAATTTACTTTGAGGCTTTTGTATATGTAATATTTTCTGGTTTAAAACATAAAACCCCACAATATATATAAGCAATAAACATAAACCATTTTTTTCTTTGCTGTTTTTTCTTATACTCGGAGGCCCTCTCTGCCACCTTTTTCCTTCTGTGTGTGTACACCTGAGTTCCCATTGCCCAAGAAAAAATTCAGTACAATATCGCCTTCCTCCCCTTTTTATACCTCCTCTTTTTTCTCAAAGTAATTTTATTTGTTATTTTACTTGCTGATTTGGAAGCGGCCTCTCAGAGACCATCTTGCCCGGCATGCCTGTGAGTGCAAAGGGCTCTGCCATGGGTAATGTCCTACTGATGCATCAAGGCTGATGGTTGATTTGTCTGCTCTTTTTTTTTTCCCTCTCCCCTACTTCAATGCAGAGGAGTACGAAGAAGAAGGTAACAAAAAAACTTGGAACGTAATTTATCTTTCTTTGATTCTTCGTCCTGCTTTTTCCTTGTCTGTATTTCACCCTTCTCTTTGGCGCTTGCCGCTAAAGGTGATCTGAAACACTTGATCAGTAAATCAGTCGGAAATCATAAAACAGGCTGTTAGGCCATGAGGTGCAGAGCCTTCACGTTACGGTGAAATACAGTATTTCTATGAGCTGTAGGGGATGGTTGTGAAGCTGGGAGCTAACCTGTCCGTAAACTCGGAGCATTTTAGAGCAGGAACTGGCGCAGAGCCCACACAATGTATCATCAGGGAAATCCTGCCATTCTCATTTTGGCCACATCCACGGACTGAGTTTAAATTCTGAAATTGAAAAGAGCAGCAGGTTGCCCAGCTCCTGAGGAGCACCTGACAGGGTGCTGCCGAGGATGGAAAAGGTGAGGCAGAGTACCGACTGGCAAAGATGAAGTTTTTTAATGCGCCTTTAGCTGGCAAAAGGTGATTTGACAAGCTGCGAGAGACAGAGTGCTGATCTGGAAGGATGGAGCATGAAAAGCCCTTTTCACCCGAGTTGTTTCAGCTTTTGTAGGCAGCAGGGAGAGGAAGATTTTGGAGATGTATTGCTGTCTTTGTTGGGCACTTTTGACACATTGGCTTCAGTTCAGGCGAACGTAGCTGCCGGTTGTTGTCCTTCATTTTCCCAAGGTGTCTTGGACAGAGATGAGGGCCAAACTCTGGGGCTTTCTCCCAGGATCTGCCCTTAGTGTCCAAGACATCTTCTAAGGGGTCAAGAGCAAAACCTTTACTGGGAGGTGGAATATTTGCACGTGGAGGGTATGAAACCAGCTCTGAGACAGACTTGCCCCTGTGTGGAAATGTCCATTTGGGGATTTTATATACAGCTTTTTTTTTTTTCTCCCCACGGATTCCCCCAAATTGTTGCAACTGGCTAATTCTTATCAGTGGTGGTGGGAACAGAGGTGCAACTGTGGCCATGCTGAGAGTAGTTCCTGCCCTAAGGTACATTATCCTTCTGTCTCTAATTCCCCCAGCATTGCTTCTGAGGGGATCACAGGCTCAAAAAAAGAAAGAAAATAAAGACACCAAATGGGTTGTAGGGCTGCCTTCAGTCATCATCGTGTCTCTAGTCCCGCCCGGAGGGGCAGAGCCGGGGAAGTGAAAGTGCTATTCATGCTCCATCCTTCATGCCTTGTCAAATGTCCAAAGAGTAAATAAAGGGTGTTGCTTCTACAAGACAAGCCTTACTTAAAGGAGAAGCATTTCTTGCCTTTCTCCTTACTTTCCTAACTGTCCACCTTTGGGTTTCAAAAATTTAACGATTAATATGAAATCAATAGGCAGGTTATGTCATACTTTTTTAATCTGCATGACTGTTTCCTCTGAGGTGCATCTTCTCCTTGCTCCCCACTTTTGCTTGGCCTTTGTGTCCTCTTCCAAAGTCATCCATTTCCTTTCCATATAACTTTTCTCCATCACTGTCTAACCACTTTTTTCTCCAGACCTTAGCTCACCCCAATACCAGTTTCTAACAGTTTTCTGTTTTCATTTTCCTGCTTGCTGTTGCTTCTTGTTCCATGACACTTGCCACCTGAAGCTCAGGAAGAAGGTATGTGACATGGTTTCTGCTTTCTTTCTCTCTCAGTGTGGAGGAAGAATGTGTGTGAAGAAATCCAGAGCAAATGGTTCACACCCAGTGGCTGGGACTCGGTCCCAAGCCACAGACATCAATGCAATGATGGACATTGATGTCACTTATTGAGCTGGTAGGAAAATGGGCCTCATTTTTTGTTTAAAAAAAAACAAAACAAAGCATTTGTGTGTGTATATAAAAAAATAAATAAAATACATGCATATATAAACCCCAATGTATATAATATACACACATATATATGATTTATATATATATCTATATGTGTATATATGTATACACATGTATGTATATGGAAGCGAATATATATATATGTATTTGTTTTGGTCTACCTTTTTTACTGAACTATTTTACTTTTTTTTTTTTTTGGTCACAACAGTGTCAATTCCTCTCCTTTGCCTCTAAAAGCTTAGATTTTTAAAAGGGAGGGGGACACCCTGCAAAGTTTATATCCTTCTGTTGAAATTCAAGAATTAAATTCTTGGAAATTTCAAAAATTGATACACATTGGTGAAAATTTTTCGCCATTTGAGAAAAAGATCTAAAACTAAAGAAATTCAGCAATTTTATTTTTGGTTGAAAATTCACCAAAAGTCAGTTGTAGGAAATTTTAGCCAGCTCTAATAAATAATAAAATATTGGATGCCTTTTTTATGTGGTTTTCATTTGTGGTCGTATTCCCATATTTCAGTGACATTTATAACCCTGTAATATGCTCATAAAAATGTTATTTTTAATTCTCTCTCACCCTGTAATTCCATCATTGTGTATTCTTACCCCTAACGGCCTGGGAGCTTGGCAAACCTCAAGAATGTTCCAATAAGATATTTCTCACTTTAATTTCTCTCCTCCTGTTCCCTTTGCTGCATGACATTTCCCACCACAGAAGAGGTTCAAGAAGAAGGTACGTAAAACAGCTTCTCAGCCCCCCTTTTTCCTGCAGCAGGGCTTGGTGCTGATGTGTGCCTCAATTTTGGAAGGTGGTAGAAGAAAGCAAGAGGCAAGAGAAAGATGCTGGGACAAACAATCTGCAGGCAGAGGGCTTTTCTTGTCCCTTGCACAAGTTTCAGAGGGTGCCCCATGTCCTTGAGTATCTGTGTGGACACCTCTGCTCCGGTTTTGGGGAGGGAGCAGCATGGGAGATGCAGATACCATCCCTTCATCCAAGCCACAGCAGGCTCTGAGGCTGATTTTTAGCCCTAGGTGTTTTTAACTCCTGCCACGGAACAGCTGGGGTCTGGCTAGAAAGGTTTCTCTCAGGTGTCAACTGGTTTCTCCTATGTAGCTTGGCAGATAATGGTCGGATGGATTTTTGAAATAAAAATCCATCTGTGATAAGGTATGTGTGTAGCCGTATGTTACATAGTACATATTCTATAATATGTAATATTATATATAGTACATTGTATATATTATAAGTTTGTAGACTATAATATATCATATTATATATAATATAAATAATAATACTGCAGAATGCAGATCTTATTAATTATATCTATGTAGACTCTGGCAAGTAACTCCAGCTGGATCCCCACACTGCATGCAGCATTTGCAAGGTGGGATAGGCAGGGCAGAAGAGGGGCTGGAACAGAAACTCACCCTTTGCACTTGAGAAGTCTGAGACACGTTGCTCTGGGTACGAAGAGCCAAAGGGTGTGTTGGTTCCACATTTGCAAAGCTTGGTATATTTGAAACAAGGGTAAACCTGTTTATAATGCCATGGGAGACCCGCTCTGAGCGGTTTGCAGGGTTTTTACAGCATCCAGGTCCTGAAGGTTTTACATTTCTTGTACCTGTGTGTGCTTTGGTTGCCTGTCTCCATTTCATCTTCTCTTCTGTTTCTCTATTTCATACCCCCTGTGGTTTTTTAGACCCCCCTGTTGCATTCACACACTCTTTAGTCTAACTTTTCTCGTTTTCCATCTTGTTGCTCTTGCTTTCCTCCATGTCCCACTTGACGAAGCTCATGAAGCAGGTATGTGCTGTTGCCTTCCGAATTGCTCCCCGCTGTCTCCTTGGCCGTGGGGGGGGATTCAAGCATGGTGTGAGAGGAGCAGGACCCAGTTACTTTGCCTTATGGCTTCTGTTGTCCTTGCTTTCCACCTCTCCTCCATGACTGGCTCTGCTGCAGGCTAACACATGGGAATGGTCTCGGTGCAAGGTCCGACAGACGTTGGCTTGGTGGTAACCCAGCCTCTCTGCCGCTCCTGCCGTGTGCAGAGCTTCCCATAAAGCCCATCCGGGCAATGGCAGGAGGTTGTTCCTCTAAAATGGGAATTGGAGAGAAATTTCAGCACGTATTTGAGCTTACTGGGAAATTTTCCCTCTCCAATGTGTCTTTTGCCTCATCGCCTCTCATGGTGAAGTTGTTTCCCAACCACATATGCCTCAAATTCCTTCCCTTCCTAGCCATTAGTGAATCCTTTACTGGGATAAAACTTTCCCCTCTGGCTTAACAGAGTTTTCAACCTGTGTAATATCAGCCCATGTAATAATGTGTTTCTCCTCATGTTCCTTTGCATCCTGTCCTGTGGCTCTTCCCACCTAAAGAAGCTCAGGAGGAAGGTATGTGACAGGACCCCTGAATTCCCATCTTTCAGAGTAAGCTCTGGTTTAGCCAGTAAGCCGTAAGATGGTAAAAGGAAACAGCAGTTAAAAATAGGCATATTAATATAGAACAAAACTTGCTCCCATTTTGTTTTTTGTACTCTCTTCCTTCATGTTCTGTCTTGACATTGAATGCACTGGCGATGCTGTGTGGTAACTGTTGCATAAAAAAAAAGTATCAAAACCGCTGGGAAATGTAAACCTCTTAAAAGGATGAAGGTTGAAAGCCTTCGCTCTGAGACTGGTTGGGTCTCCCTGGGAAGCTTATTTTGGACCATTCGGGGTGGGTCAGGCCTCTGGCTGATGTGCAGATGTGCCCATGATTGGTCTGGTGCTACAGCAGCTGCCGATGCTGCAGCTGCGGAGAGGATTTGCACCCCTTTACCGGGCTGACATTCTTACGATAGCCTTTCCACATGTCCTTTTTTCAGTTTAAACTCTGTTGTATAAAGCAACTGGTAATAATTTTGGTGCTTTAGCTTTGCAGATGATTAAAGATGGTTTTCTTCTTCATGCTATAGACTTTCTAGACTACTGTCTCACGGTAGTACGTGCAGCCACGTGCCACCAAAAAGCTGCTGGCATCAGGTTGTAAATCCACTTGGGAGAGCGTCAAAGTTGTGAAACAGCATGCTGCTCTGGGCTTTATGCAGGACTCCAGGAATGTGCATATAAGACAAATGTCATCTGATGCAGAGACTTAAATCAGCTTTATGTTTTTAATCTCTCAGACCATTTGTACCCTTACTTCCAGTAGTGCTTTTCACATCCATATTCGTTTTATTTCCTTGCAATATATTCTCAGGATTTCCCTCCCTGTCCATTTTGTATGAGTGAAAAGTTATTCCGATGTTTCTAACGCTCTTGTCTTCCTTTGCATTTTGCTCTGTGACTCTTCCCACCCGCTAAAGCTCATGAGGAAGGTATGTGCCATGACTTGTGAATTCCTCTGTTTCTGACTGGAGTGGTAACACGTGCAGGAATTCTGGAGGTGGTTGAAGAGGAGACAATGCAAAAATATCCTCTGCATGCTCACTGACGGCTGCTTCGCTCTCATAGGATAAGCAGTGTGATGAGTAATAAGTACTAACCGCTGTTTTGAAAAAAATGCCCGAAGCACAGGCTGGGCATTGCTTACATATTCTCCAGTGCCCTGATGTCTCTAACCATGCTATCCGTATGGATACCAGTTGGTACAGGGACAGTGCTCCCAAAAGCATTTCCTCTATGCCATGCACCGGGGCTGGAGGTGGGACAGCCGTGCCCTGTGGCAATGCCACATCCCTTGGTCAAGTGTACCTCTTCCTCCTGTCCCCCTGCCACTGTGCCGAGAAAAAACTCACCTTTGTAGCAATGTATGCTGATGTGGAGAGACTTACATCTGAAGTCATGAGCAACAAGTGACACTGTGTCATACCTAGTTTTCTGTTGGGCTAAGGATTAGACCAAGTGGCATCGTTTTGGTTGCAGCATATTTGCAGAAAATGCCAATTCAGAGAAAAGATGTAGTTGCATGCTTTTTCCTTAACTATTGGGTATGTTTCTGGGTTAATGTGCATTATGCAAAAACGTGGGGTAGCAGGGTTGCATTTTTGCTTGATTTTATAATGTGAATTGAAGTCCAGATCTGGTAAGACAATCTGTGTGATCAGCAAAATAGTAGGTCATGCTTATTAAAGCATCAGCCTGCCAGCCCAAACCCATTTACCTTTCAATTGCCCTTCTGCCTCCCCCTCTCTGCATGTCCAGCTAGGCTTTCATCGGATACTTTATCCTGCAGGTCGGAGAGCAGTAACATGTTAATACTTACCTTCCCACATTGGTGTGCGGCTCTACACACCAGTGGTGAAATCCTGAGCACTAAGGAAATCAATGCCAGCTCCTCCGAGCCCACTGATTTCTGCAGAGGCTGGGATTTCTATGCACATGAATAAGAACAGATTGTTTATAGCCTTTTTGCACATTCAAACCTATGGGTAATGGACTTGATTTAAATACAAGCAAATATTTTTGTCAACTAAAGGCTACCAATGGCACTTGATTTATAACATTATGAATAATGTTAGTCATCTGTATCTCTTCTCTCCCAACATCCCCTGTCCTACCCCTCCATGATTTTCTAATTGACATCCATATGTGCCCTCTATTTCTCTTTTAATCTTATTAATGGTTTTTATCCCTCTAATCCCTCCATCCTGGCTAAAAAAAGTGTAAGGTTTTTTTAATCATCCTCTGTTTCTTGCTCTAATTCTTTTATCTTTCTTTGCATCTCCTTCCTTGCTACTTCCCTCTTAAAGAAGTCCATGAACCAGGTATGTGACTTCTGAATTCCTCTGCGTCAATCTGAAGGGTTATTGTGTGCTGGAAATTCAGTTGCGCTTGGCAATTTCACAATTGGGTCATGTTCTGAATTGGGACAAACTGGAAACTTTTCAAACAACAACAAAAAAAGGAAGAATGCCTTGTTTGGCAGCTATTGAAAATTATTTTTTTTATTTAGTTGAAACAAAACATTTTGTTCAACATTTTTTTTTCCTATTTCCTCTATGGAAGATTTCCAAATTTTGAAATGAAAATTCTATTTTAGATGCTTCTGAAGCATTGACTTTATGGATAATGTGGTGTATATAGTGTAACGCAAGAACAAATCTGGAATGAGAGATTGTCACAAGGCAAAAAATGAAAAGGTTTTTTCTGGAGATGTTAATATCTATGCAACATTTTATGGTTGTGAAACTTTCTTTTTTTTAAACCAAAATCTTAGCTAAATCTACATGAGTTTTGAAATATTGAAATTTAATTGAAACTATGATTTCTGTTGGAAAATGATACCAGCAACTCTAATATTATACTCAGGAATTCAAAGATGGTGGAAGAAAACAGATAAAAATCAAATATTAATGATAAACTGTAACTTGCAGCTTCCTTACACCTTCCACCAGTAATAATTTCCTCTGCTCTGTGATGCATAATAATGAGGATAAAGGCTAACTGTTGCATGAAAAATGTAATAACATTTTTGTAAACAAATATCTCTGTGTATAAGCTGTAATAATAGCCACTGACTGGACTCAGATCCATCCTGACACTGTGTATGGGAACATTATAATGTTTACTCTCTGGAAAAGCAGCCATTGAACTTGGAGCGTCCTCTAAAGTGTTTGTGAAAATTATTCTGTGCCATTTGGAGTAGCTTTATTAAAGTAGTCACATCTCAACAGCCGCCCATCCCAGCTATTTCACTCTGCTGTCCGCAGAGGGAGACCAGCCTCTTAGTTTAGATGAGATCAGTACTTTTGCCAGGGTTGAAGTGAGTGAGGTGAAAGCTGTCCGATTGATTTTTGCATGACTTAACACTTCAACATCCATCTGTGAGCTGCTTCTCATTTCCCCCCTGTTCTCGACACTTCTTCGTTCATGTCCTTTTCTTCTCCTTTTAACCATATTCATTCTTGTCTGTTAGCTGCTCCTAAGGTTTTTCTGACCTTGGTTTGCACAAGTTAAAGGTCACTGCTACCATCCCAGCTGCTTTCCCTGCCTCTGTACCTCTTTTCCCTGGTATTTATTGAACTGCCATTCACTACTTGAGTGTCGGTCTTAAGCTTTGACATACATATGAGCTTGAAATTTGTGCAAAGCACCAGGTATTAACAGAATCTGATTAACAATAAAGCCATACCTACAGCCTCCCCATGTTTTCTTTTCCCTCTGTAACATGAAGCATAACAAAAAGGAAAGTTTATAAAGAAGATGTAAATATAACAAGCTTAGAAGAAAACTTCTATGTCAGAGGGAGACCGTCCCAGCTTTTCATATCACTGTATGATTATTTAGTTTCTCTGTTATTAATGCTGTCTTTGTCTAACACATCTTCTAAGTCATAGCTGTGGCCCGCACAAGTTCAGAGTTATTGCTGTTGTGCAGTTCTTGCTCTAATTCCTTTATTTTTCTTTGCTGACACTTTCCACCTAACCAAGCGCATGTATATGACATCTAAATTCCTATGTATTAATCTGAAGCATTCCTGTACATAGGAATTTGAAGTTGTTGAAGAAAACCAGTCATGAAGAATCAATCCATTCTTAAGATTCCCTAAAATTTATTTTCCCTATAGGAAAGTATACTTATTGTTTGTAACTGAAGAGTCACCTTCTAAGAAGCTTAGAAGAAACACTTTAGTGCCCCTGAAACCATTTAGGGCTGTGACTATACTGCAGCCGGGTCAGTGAGCAGGTACCCGAGCTGCAGAAGCACAAGCTGCTTGCACTCGCAGGTATTGCCTGCAGCAGGATCCTGGCACGCAGGCTTGAGCAGTTTCTACTCCTTTGCAGCAGAGACAAGCCCTGTGTAGACCTGAATATTTCCAGTTCTGCAGAGCTAAGCCCCAAATCTGCCAGTGGATGTTCTTAGATGGTGGAGCTTCAAGTGCAAGCAGAGATACATCCAAAGCAGTACTTCCTTGCAGTAACTCTCATATCCCCATACTGCTCTGACAGCTAAAAGGGCATGTGCATAGCTGAAACACAGGTACCACTGCACACTTGTAAAATGCTCTTCTTGAGTATGTTTTCTTTCAAATTTAAGGATCACCAGTGTTACTACAATTGCCCACTGTTTATATAGTTGCATGATTTAAACCATTGCAATTCATCAACATTCAAATTCCCTTTATCTTTCATTTCTATGGCATCTCCTCCATGTCTACTTCACATTCCATTGTAATTACTCTCCTTTTCCACTCTTATTAACACCCTATCCCTGTAACCTAGTCTGCAAATGATACCCTTCAACCCTGTCTTACCAAAGTTTGAGGTGATCCCCTCCTGAATAACTTATTTCTAATTCTTTTATCTTCCTTTCCTATGATTTTCCCCTGACACTTCCTACTAAATGAAGCCCCCCCTCCAGGTATGTGATTTAACTTCTAAACTCCCCAGTGTCTGTCCGCTGGGATGGTGTGTGTGGGAAGTGAATACAACGTGACAGGAGATAACAAACTATCTGTTAATGCTAGCTTGTAACTTGCATGCCTTTGGGGTGGTTGCTATTTTTTTAGTTTAATTTTTTTTTTCCTCAGTAAAGTGTAATCAGCAGTAAGGAGGAGGAAGCTTACCTGTTGCATGAAAATTTTACTAAAAACTAGGGCAACACATATACTACTGTGAAAGAGTAGCTCAGCAAAAAGTGTCCTTGTGGAATGGGTTAAATTCTGCACTGTGATACGAGAATGAATGTTTCTTCCTATAGGGAAAGCTTCGTTTCAAATCTTGGGGCAGAATTTGACCCATTAACTGTAACAGGCAATATAAATGCTGTGAGATTTTGCATTATTTTTATGCCTGCTTTGCAAAATATTCAGTGGCATGTGTATGGCTGAAAAGCAAAATCTGCCCTGCAAATGCACATTGCTGATCGATTCTCGCTTCGCCAAAAAAACTAGAAGAATGAAATGTAGACCTGCACAGACTTTTAATGAACCTTTTCTTCCTATGAAGTAATCTGTTCATAATTCTACATTGCAAATGGATGTGAAGAACAGCAGGAGATTTATATAGACATCAAAGTTGTCTTCAAGGAAGAAAACGGCCTAAGCCATAGATCTAGAAAAGAGAACTGAGCTTCTTTGAAAGTTAGCTAACGTTGATGATGAGTTACAGCAGGTATTTCAGTAGGTTTCCAAACCACACTGTGTTTATTTCAAATGACTGAAATATTGCTGTAGAAAAGGACGGATCCAACAGTGCTTTGAGAGTGCTGACTATGTTCATGTGCATATTTCAAATGAAGGTAAACCTTGGTACACTGTGCTGTCAGGTTGTGCTTTATGTCATGTAATGCTCAGGTTTTTTTAAGTATCGTACTATTATCGTAAATCTGCCTGTTTCAGCTGACTGAATTCCTTTCCTGTCCTGTGACTTCTGTTTATGTGCTGTTTATTTCAAATGTAATTAATTTATTTTACCTCAGGTTTACTTCTTAACTTTGCTTCTTTCTTCCCTCTTCCTCTCTGCCCCTCTTCCCCTTTGGCTCAAAAGCTCTTTTGGTGTGTGAAATAACAGGTTTCTCGTTCTCATTCTCTTATTTTCCATCGCATCTTGTTCCATGACACTTCACACCTGAAGTTCATGAGCCAGGTATGTGACATGACTTCTGATTTACTCCACCTAGTTGCAACACAAGAGTGTATGTGTGTGACAGAGAGAACAGGAGTCCTGGGTTGGTAGAAGAGAACAAAACAAGAGAAACAAATATTAACCAAGATGATCACTTGCAGCCCTTTTCTCCTTTAATCTCCATGCTTACTACTACTTTAACCTTACAGCATCTTTAACTCCTGACAGCCTCTCCAGATACCTTTTCTCCCTGGCTTAATTCACTAATTCCTTTATTTTCTTTTCTTCCTTTATCCCCCTCCCCCCTTCATGCATTCCCTGGTCTCTTTCTCAGGCTTCCAAGAGCTTTAAATATCTGTTCTGTTTTTGTTTTTGTTTGTTTTTTTTCTTCTCTATTTCCTGTCTTTCCATCACTGCTTGCACCATGACACCAACAGAGGAAGCCCCTGAAGAAGGTATGTGATGCATCTACAGACTCTCACCTTTTTTCTCTTTCAGTGCTGAGGAAACAGTGTTAAAAACACTGACCTTGTTCAAGAGCAAAGAGAGCACGGGAGGGAAAAGGTCTCTCTGGATAGCTTTGGATGAACATGGAGAAAAGGGCTGTATGTTTGCCAAATCATATCACCAAAAAGGTCTTTTTTTCTTCTTGTTCCATCTCTAGAGAGTCCAAGGTTCCCAGCGTAGCAGGGAGGGAGTGGGGACAGTTGCTCTTAGGAGAACAATGCTGGTTGTGGATTGACTACTATGCTGCTTCTCTTTTGCTTTTATCCTTCAACCTACAGCTGATGAAGGCGGCGAATTCTATGATGGTAGCTTGGTGTTGTCTTAGGACAACAAAGTTACCTTTCTAACATCTCACCCTTTTTTCCGTATTTGTTTTTGTCCCTCACTTGATTTTAAACTCAGGAACTGGGCTAAAACATCTCTGCCACGAAGAATCGCTCACTGTGCATATCCAGTCACCCTTGGGGAGTCACTGTTGCACTGAGAAGCCTGTACATCCTCATTAGGATAGTAGATGGTGAAAACCAAGCTCTAGAAGCTTGCTCTGGACTTGTCTTTTAGCTAGAACCTATCGTGTCATAGGTTTCATCGGCAAGCCTTCTCTATCCTCCCAAAAATCAGGAAAGTATCTCTTAAATCATAGTGGCATGCTTGAAAATGGAGCTGAGCCCTGCATAGACATGCCTTTCTCACCCAACCTTAGAAGGTCATGGTCTCCAGGACTGAATCTACAGATATTTAAACTTCTGCTCCAGCCATTCACTTAAAATTGTGCTAAACATCAAGCATGTGAATAAATTTATTCAGACTGGTGGGGCAGGCCATGGGCTTAAGATAGCGTGTTCATAATAACTTGGTTGAGTGGGTGCTGGAGCACATAGGTGGGCACAAGGCTGATGTGAAAGGACCAAATCTAAATGTTTGCAGAGTCAGTTTTGCTCTTGTATGTGTGTAAGATAACTTAGCCCCCCTGGGCCAAATTCAAAACCAGTTTAAATGTATAGACTGACTCACAGGCTTTTACAGGCCTTTGAAGTAGCTTGGTTGTGTTCTGACTGCCCCAATCCCTAAAACACCTGGCCAGCTGTTTTGAAAGACAAAGCCCAGTGCCACTTGAAACCACCCTGCATTGTCTCCGTTTCCTTGTTTTGTAATTTTTTGTTGTTGTTGTTTGTTTGTTTTAATTTTGCTCATTTTTCAGGCTTTTTCCTTATTTAGGGAAATACGCTGAGGACCTTTCTAAGCCCCTCTCTCTCCTTTTTTTTCTCTTTCTTTCCTTTTATTTTTAATAGCATATTAATTTTTTTTTCCCCCCAAGGACACAGTGTGAGTTAGATATGTTGCTTCTGAAAAGTGGGATTAGGGGAGGATGTTTAGGGATTTCTGAATGAAGTAAAGGCAGTTCAGATGGATTCATAGAGAAGGGGAGCACTGTGTGAATATCTCATAGATTGCGCAGGAGAAAGCAAGGTTGTAATTATGGTGGTGTGTACTCTCCCTGTGCTAACCCTTTTGGAAACCAGAAACTCAGAAACTGTCTAACCACCAGGGCAGTGAACTTGGATTTCCAGTGGCTCTTGCCTTCTTCTGGCAGGGTTGTATGTGGGGATTTTGTCACGGTCCCATGGTTCATTGGCAGAATAACCAGAATGTCAGTCAAAATCTGCCATAGGAACAGGAATTTGCTATGACAATTCCTGCTTGTCAACCAATTTTGGACCAGTTCCTTGACTCAGTGTCATGAAAGAAGGGGCATTTCAAAATAAATCACAACCATGGGCTGCTTTTGGTGCATACAGTATGGACCAATGCTGGGTCATGCACTGCAAAGGACAGATTTATTACTGTTTATTTTTTAATAAAGGCTCCTATTTCTTTGTTATCCCCTTTTCTGGTTTTCTGGAGGTACCTTTAAATATTCTAACTACAATTTCTTATTTCAAGACCTACTAACCTTAATTTTTCCTTTTATTTTTACAATTGTTTGTTGGTTTAATTAAGTTTAAAGAGCTGATGTGGCAGCTGAAACTAAATTTGCAGTTTTTGACAGACAGATGTCGATCCTGGCAACCAAGGTCAACAAACAAAACCAGTTATTTCCTGTCTACTTCCCCCGCCCCCACCC